GAGTAATACTACACCCGGGAGGGGAGGGGGTCGAGGGTTGCGCAAGGAGACCTGCTCGGATAATATCCCCAAACTGGGTTTGGGCGCAGGAGCCCGGCGAGCCTGCGCCTTCAGAGAGCAGTGCCAAAGGTCAGGAAATAACTTCCCACGGAGAGCGGCCAGACATCCTCTCTCGCCCCACGCGGTCCCGGTGCCTCCGGTGTCCCGCGTGGGCCTCACCCGAGGCTCCAGAGCGCGCTCTTGGGCAAGGGGAGGGCGCGGAGTCAAGGCACCTGCCGGGCTTTGGGGCTGGGGTTACTGCTCTGCCCCTTGAGAATGGGGTTCTAACGATCGAGTTTAGCTCGGAGCCCCGGGAGGGGAGGTGGGGGTCGCGCCGGGGGAGTGGGCGTCATGCAGAAAGTGAGTTTCGTCTTCCCAGGTAAGGGTCTCACGCGGCTACCGTGGAAAGCGCTTTTCCTTGCGCCCTGGGGTGGGGCCGCTGTCAGCTTGGGGCTTAGGTCATAGTCCGCAGGGATTTTCTCAGAAAGCAGCGGGAATTCTCTGGCTCCTAAAATCTCCGCCTCAAATTAGCCCTTGTAACACTGGTTGCTTTGCTGTGTCGAGATAAGTATTATTTATTGTTTCTAAAGGGTTTTACAATCACTGTCTCATTCATTTTCTGTCTGTGTAATTTGTTGCGGAAAAACTATACTCTCAAGGAGAGAATTCACTTCAACACTTAAAACAGTGTTTACCATGCTACCGTTTTTAAGTGCTTTGCAAAATTTAACTGACTTAATGAGGTACTATATTGTTAATATCTCCCCTTTACAGATGAAAAAAATAAATAAATGAGGCACAGAGAGGTTAAGAAACTTGCCAGGGTTCGCACATTCCAAACCCTTGATGAATTACACCGTCTTCTCTCTGCCAGGGTGTTACAGACTAAAGCAAGGTGACCCTTGCAAACATGCAAAACCAGGAATGGAAAAGTATACACCCCAGAGCCTAAAGTTCTCTTAATTTGGGGACATTTCTGAAAACGTCCTAAGTTTGTGAGGTCCTCGCACCTTCCCCTGTGGGCAGGTACGGGGACAGACTGATGGGATTCCTCTGGGGAAACGGAAGACACTGCCATTCTGTGGGACTGTGGTGCACCCACCAGTCGTGTAGGGATAATTCTTAATATCTTCAAGATTTCTGGAAGTCATATTTCATACATGATGCTTTCTTTCCTCGTGGACTCGTGAAAAGCTGCAAAAGTGATGTTCTGTGGAAAAGTAAATTTGGCAGAT